TATGCATAATATTTGCGATACTCCAAATTGGAAGGTTAGTCCTTAGATGTATGGATGTCATGAAAGATTTCTGGTGACACTAGGCTAAGGTAGTGACACTAGGCTAAAGTAATTTACTGATTCTAATAATTCTCGAAGGAAAACTTTGTATAGGGATTATTGACATGTGTCAAATATGTAAGCTGCATGTTCTTTTCTACATTCAACGTATAGGCCCTTTGTCTCCACATTTTTGAGCTCACTGCTGTTGTATCTTGCACGTTACATTGGAAATGGACTTGCGACCTGAGGACATGGCATTCAGTTGCGAACTATTAGGATGAACGGATTTCAGGGGATATGGTTACAGATAGCACGATGGATCATGATGCAGGAAAGCGTGCCTGAACATGTGAAAACATGGAATTCAAACAACTTCATAGTCTTTGTTGATTCACTTGTGAATACCATGATTACGCACTTAGTTGACTCACATAAAATATCAAGAATTTAGACTCATTGTTTCACATAAAATATTGATAACTAGTTAGATAATGGAGAAACTATTTATACTTCAACAAGTGATCCTCTTCTAATTGACCCTAGTGGTTTTTCTTATAAACTGTAACCAAAATCGCTGTGCAATAAAACAAACGTAAAAAATTTTTAGAGCTAAAGGGAAGATTTCCATACAAATCCCAAAGAAAAATATAAAAGATGCTATAAGAATGCTCAAATCACAAAACTACCAAAAACAATCCCCAAATTTTATAAAATACTTCAATCATAAAACAAAAAAAAAAAAAAAAAAGAAAAAAAAAATTCCCTAAAGGCTTAAATTTTGAAAAAATAATAAGAATCTACATTCGATTGAGATTGGATTGTTGATCAAAGACTAGTTTCTATGTGTTTTGAGCCTTATTGCAGAGTGCATCGTTCTTTCTTACATGGAGAATATTTGATCTTGAACTTTGGGTACTTGTGAATTTGCTTGCGAAATTCATTATTCCAGTAAAAATTCTCAAACGACTGCTTTGTATCTTGCTCCTCAAGGTTGAGTTTAGTCGAGAGTGATGTTATTTACAAGGGACATAAGATGCTCATATGAAATATGTCAACTTTTCGGACTTCTTGCTTCTGTCATGGAACCCATTGACTTTTTAATGGAAACTAATACTATAGATGACTGCAACTTTTGGTGCTTCTTCCTATGATGTGAAGCACAAATACTTCTACTATGGCAACGTCCAATGCTCAACGTATATCATGTAGTGTTGTGTCAAACATTGATGCTCTTTAGACACTTAACTTCATGAAGTGTCCTTTTTTAATAAATTTTCAAAATTTTAGACATTTTGGGGGGAGGGGGGGACGTATTATTGAGACTTGGGATTCTATATTTGATGTTAGTCTTATTAAGAGGATCAACCTAAGTCATTATATGTTGGTTAATGTTTTCAGCTTTATTCTATGTGAGATTTTAACATGCGCCCACAAGATGATGATTGCTTGTTTGAGCATACCAATATTGGAATAGACATGCTCATTTGAGCTTTAGATGATCGAATTGCTCATTTGAGCTATCTGATTTTTGATATCATATTAAAACTTAATATTCATAAGGTCAACTTATTAGGAGGAACCTAAACCTTTATAGGTATATGTTTTAGTTAGAATAGGGGATTATGAAAATATTTCTAGCTAACTTATATCCTAGTCTAGCTAGGAATCAATGTAGGAATGTGATTTTTTTTCCTTTCATTCTGTAGATATGATTATACTAATATATATTGGATTTATTATGGCATAAATCGATCTAGCATATTTCCACTTGGTATTTGAGCAAATTTAATCAACGGGCTAAAGTCATGATCAAATTCATTTTCGACAAGTACTCGTCCGGCCAAGTTTTTAATGGTTTCTCTTAGCTATTTTCGTAAGGCTTTTAGGATTTGCATTCTTCTTCCTTCACCATCTATTATTGGCAACTCTCTATCATATAATTCCTCATCCATCTCTTGGTACAACCATTTGAAATACAATAGCAAGCAACCTCTCTATAATTTGTGTGTCTATCGAGAAAATTCTGAAAGACTAAAATCTCGGATTCCTTATTTGAAGAGGAATATGGGTTGCTGGTTCTTTAAGGATGAATTACAGCCACCTTTGAAATTGTGCCTGTAGCTGTTTCCATCAGGAAAAATCAGAGGGGCACTATATAAACCGAGAAAAGTGATAAGAAGATCAAGGAAGTAAAGAGTGTTGGAGCAATACAACTTTCTCTGGTTTTTTCATCGTCCAGTCTGTATAGTTGCTGCTGCCATCTACAATTTTGTGTGGCAAGCGTAATTTGAGTTAAGACTTACATTTTAGTTACAAATATTTGTTGTTATATACATTTTAAGGTCTTTTAGCGCCTCTAACTTCTGGTGGTTTACAAATGGTTTATTGTGATGGCCGTTTTTCTTTAGTTCCTCCATCTTTGTTTGAATCGGGATCCTCCCGCTACCCCTTTTCATGCTACGCGACCCAATCCTTTTTGGTACACCCTTCTACTGTTCTCGATGCTAGATATCCTCCTGAGATTCAACTTATATTTCTACATATTTCATCTTTATTCGATATGAAATCTACCCTTAACAATTGTAGGGCCAATCTTGGGCAATTGTCCAACGTATCACGTGCCGTGTCTTAGATTAAAAGTGCAAAACATATCAGTTTAAAATTGTAGAGAAAATAAATAAACATATTCCCTATATTAAAAAGCATGAAATATATCCGTGTGTGAGCTTCTTAGTTTCCTCCATATCAAGTCTTAAAATTGCCTCAATCTTTTCAGGTCGAAAAGGTGCAAACTTTTGCGTTAAATTGCTAGGATGATTTTGATCCCCCAGGCTGGGGTAGTTATGGATCCAAGCAAAGAAAGGGAATTGAGCACCCTTAGTGTTAAGGATAAATTGGATTCTTTGCATTAGAGTTGTTGAGCATTTGGGTGAAGACTGTGATCAATCTTAGCACTACATTGTTATGACCGTTTTAATCCTTAAAGCCTGGGTCATCGAGGATCCAGACGAAGACCAGGATTGACCCTGGTGTTGGTTGGATAAATGTACATCCACATTCGTCTACCCATCTTGTTCTTTGTGTTGAGCTACTAGCTCTTTCATCTAGATTCAATCATTCTTATTTCTCTCCTTTCTTGTTTTAGTTACCAGACCATTTTAGGTGTATGGTCGCACTAATAGATTAACCCACCATGCAATGCTTTTTTGTTGTGTATTTGAAAATGTTTTCCAAGGTTGATAAAACATAGTTTCTGACGCAAGTTAGAGAACGTCGTTGTCTTTTCACATCATGTGATAGTATCTTCCTGCTGTAATACTTCATGATATGAGTTATGATCTGAATATTTGGTATCAAGCCCATCTTCTAATACTATTAAACAATTCATCCATCTATACACTGTTTGTCGGGACTTCTTCACAAGGCTAATTGCTCCTTGTTTGGTAGAAAATGATTTTCATTACCGAACGGCTCAAGATATACTGTCCTGAATTAGGCTTCTTGGTTCTCACGGAAAAGTGAAGAAATATTACCCCTCTAAGTTATTGAATAAATCATTCTAGAATTATTTCAATTTTTGACGTTTGTTTGCTTCAATGTTACAAGTGCATGGAGGCATCCTTTTCCAAGCTCTGATTTTTTTTAAAACCACTATTGTCAATCCGAAGGGATCCGAATATTTTTGTTTAGGTATTGTTTCTGGTCTCTCTTTTGAGTTTTCTTTTGGGTTTCTTCCTTGTAGATTCTAGCCGAGTTATGGAGCCTGAAGGGCATGAAGAGCACTTAACATCAGGTTCTGTGACTCCAGGAATCCCGATTGCAAATCCACAAGGGATCCTTACCATAGAAGAAAGTAGTGGCAATTTCATAATTTCCGAGTCAAGTGAAACAAGACATAAGAAGGAACCATGTGACAATGGTAATGATTTTTAATATAAAATAAAGTGGTAATACGAAGGTTCTCCAGGGAAAAAAAAAGTTATAATCTGTTGCTATCACAGCATAGTTTTTTTTAGTTGTACTTGGGTTCTTGTCACAAAAATCAGTAGTCCACACTAATAATAATGGGGTTCTTGCAGGAGAAAGAACCTCAAAGGATAGCAATCAAACAGCTTTGTGTGGCAGCGAGGGGATTAATGAATTAAATACTAAATCTTCTGCTGGATTTATTGCTACATTATCCGTGGTTGATAATTCAAGGAAGAAGGTTAACATTGACAATATCGAGGAAAATGTTCATACTTCTGTAGAGGCTGCTGAGAACATAAAGCAAATGTCATCGAGGTTTAACCACTATCTGAATTCCAACTGTCAAACTGCCAAAATGTTGATTCTGCTTGTACCCTACATTAACAGTTAATTTTTAAGTCTTCCATGCTAGAATCAGATCCTCACATTTAGTCTTCTTCAGGTTGGATGCTCCGCAGATTAGACCTAGACATTTGTCCTCTACTGCAGAGTTTAGTGCCGAGGCTAAAAGACCAAGGATTATATGTGAGTTTCATGCCAAAGGGTGGTGCATCAAAGGAAATTCTTGTAGATTCCTTCATATAAAGGAGGGAGATTTAGAAACGGCGAAGAAAGAAAGTGAATTTTTGGCTGTGGAAGGTAATTTATAAAGTTTTTTGGTATTTCAAAATCAACTCTTTGTGGTAACTCTGGAAATTATTATTTCTTGTTGTATATTCAAGAGGCACTACTGAGAGATGAGAATGATTTCGCTGTTGCAGCTCCTTCTGTGGCACATTTTCCAACACAGGAAAGTGGAGAAAAACCGAAGTTGAATAGCGAGAAGTATAGCCATTATGCTTCTCCACTGGTCATGTACAGTTCTTCAAATTATAGGAATACCGCATTACATGGAGATTTCTCTAGTTGCTATAGCATATCATCTGATAATTATCGAAGCACTGGAATCTCCTCTTATGGGACAAGTATAGAGGGAACGACTGATCAGAAAAGCCAGTTTTTATCCCGTGACCATATCTCGCGAGGCTTAAGCTATTCTCTTTCTAGGCCACCATTCTCTTTTAGTTCATCCTCTTGGAATACTGATGCACTTCCGACCCTGAAGCTTTTGGAAAGCAGTAGGCAGCATCATGTTTCTTTATCATCCTCTTTTCGGCGAAGCTCTTTGTCATTTTCTGGTTCCGAGTCAAAAAGTCTTTCTCAAAACAATGTTTTCAGCGACGCAGACCACTCATATGGCTACAAAACTAATATATCTTCTGATGATTGGGAGCCGTCTGTTCCTTTCCGCCCATCGCATTCTATTACCCAGAAGTTATTATTTCAAGAAAACCAATACGATCCCATTCGTCATAGCATTGAGCAAACCGTTGTTGGAGATGGGCTCTTAAAATCTCCTTATTCTGATCAAAGGGCATCTAATAAGAACACACAATTGCAGTCGAACAATTCACAAGAAGATGAGAACCTTTTGAATTCTGTACATGTTAAAGATATCAAAAAAGTGTCTACATCAAACTCTGGTTCTAGACTGGAAGGTGATGGGTCAAGGAATAAGACAGAACCAAAAGTAGAGGAAGTTAGCCAAAACAATGAACATGACATTGACATGAAGACAAATGGACATGTGCAGAAAGTATCAAAAACCTTGAAAAGTTTTCAAAATGCACTTGTGGAATTTGTAAAAGAATTGGTGAAACCAACTTGGCGCGAGGGACTTTTAAGCAGGGATGCTCATAAATTGATAGTTAAGAAGGCAGTTGACAAGGTTCTTAGTACAATGCAGTCTGACCAAATTCCTAGCACGGATGAAAATATTAATTTATATCTTTCTGTGTCTCAGCCAAAAATTGCGAAGCTAGTTGAGGTTAGTGTCTAGAATTTCGCGGGTTTTATATGTTCAGAAAGACTAATGCATCAAGTGTGTCCGACGGTGTTTGACATTTGGGAATTTTTATTGCAGGGATATATTGATAAGTATGGGAAATCTTGACGTGGCTGATTTGCTAGGCTTTGCACCTTATCTTATATTTTCTCCAAACTGGGAGTTTCAGGCCTGTCTTTGCTTGCCCACCATGCCTTCGTCTGAAGGCTTAGCTGGGACTCATGAAATGCTTGAAATTTGTTTGAGGTTTCGTGTTTTATGGATAGAACTTTAATCCCTTTTGTACATGGGAGTAATTATAATTTCTATTTTTAATTTCTATTTTTATGCTCTAATTAATTGAGCTTACTAAGCAATCTTTGGTTACATGCTTAACTTTGCAAATAGAATGAAGGTTGCAATACTTCTGTGCTAACTTACATAAGAAGTCACTGCGAATTGTTTTTGTGAGAACTGCATTTAATTTTCTGCATTCGTCAAGTTTAGGATATGACATTCTATAGTTATCGGATGTAGAGACTATTATTGACTGATGTTTGCTTGCTCTCAAAACCTGAAGTTTTTTATCCTGACCCTGTTAATGGTTGTTGAATTTAATGGTCCATATCGATCGTTGGTGTTGCAAGCTTCATGATAAATTGTTGGTTGTGGTTTTTAATCTCTTATCGCTTGTTAATTATATATCTCAATGAGCGTTGCTCACATCTCTGCGTGGTTAGTGGTATATCCTTCCTTTTTGAATGCAGTGACAAGTTTTTACGATAGAAACAAGGCCAACATAAAATATGTTTCCTCAAGGTTCTGTAGGAACTGATACAATATGAGAAGAGGAAATAAGATCAAGAAGATTTTAAAATTGCTGCTTTTAGCCCAGGTAAATGGAACTTGTGTCTTATCAGATCTTATTTGTATTCTCTTGTTGTTGCCTTGCATAACATTTTTGCCTCCATGTTGTGTTCTACCAATAATTCCAGCTTGTTCATGGTTAACACTAGGATGAAATTATTTGTTGGATGGCTTTTGCATATTTCCTTCAATATTAGTGTAACTAGTGATTACATGCCTAGTATCACATTGTTACCCCAAACACGAGCGTCCGCAAAAGTTGAAATGAACCCAATGTAGAACAGTTGAATAAGAATGAGGCTGAGAAAGGAGAGAGGGAGAGAGAAGAGAAGAGAAAGAGAAGAAGTGGGAGGGAATAGAGAGACTTTGAGGGAGAAAATATCAATATTAAAATCTAACAATTACAATGCATAAGCTCCCTTTGTATAGGATATAAAGCAAACAACTAATAAATAAGTAGGAAAAATCTATTAATGGTAATATTCTCTGCTAGAAGTCTCATCATTCCTCGTCGACCGGGAGAACTCGAATTCGGCTAAACAATCTGCAGCTCTATTCTCCAAGGAGGTTGAACTTTTGTTCTAACCAAGTATCTATATGAAACTCGTGACTGCAACATACAATGAATTCATACCACGGGGACGATTCTTCCTATTGACCAAATACTGATAGCAAACTCCTGGAACTAGAATATGGGCAACGCATTCATGAAAACATCAATCAGCTTTACATAATGAGGAGCACATGGGACTAACATTGTAGACTGACATGCGAAAACTAATGATTACAACATAGGAGGCTCCAATGTGTCCCAATAAGAAAATACTTCTACTATATTGAAAATATAATTTTCATTCAAGTGTGATGGTCGATTAAATAGATTATTTGTATTTGAGCTTTCCAAAACTTTTTCTAACGTATTAAGGAAATCGTGCTAAAGAAACACGTAAGGATAAAAATCACTATTGAGTATTTAAGCCTATATTGCCCATTAAAGCAAGCTCATAAGTTTAATGATGTAAAATAATTTGTGCAATCTCGGCATGAAAATTAGAAAAATTGACAAAGTTTGAGGCTAAAACAATATGATGGTAATTAGAAGGCAACAACCGACTATTGATTGGAAAAATGTGCAAGCAAAAAATTACTTTGTATATCAACACCGCAACTTGGGAAATATTATTCAATTGAAGTAACACCATAACAAAGTTAGTGTGAAAGTTATGTAAAGGATAAATTAGGTAAAAGAAAGGTATAAAAATCTTGAATCTAACTACATGCACCTTATTCGATGTGAACTCGCATAGCAACGATAGCTACGAAACTCACAACGGGATTGAACCCTCAAGAAAGCCAGTTAAACCAAGGTTTTGGATTTGACCTAAAAATATTGAATCAAGCAACCAACAATCAATTGATATGTTGACCTCTTGATTACAAGATTTAAGAATCTCACCCGGCAATTTTGAACGCTACAAGATAATGATTTTGATAAGTTCGATAATTTGTTCAATCAAGAACAAAAGAATTGGAAGCAAATTGCCTATTGAGAAATTTCTTCAAAAGTTTTATTTTTACAATGAAGAATAATAAACTTTGAAACAAAGTTTAAAACGGAATAAAAGTCCTAAAGAATACAAAAGTTAGCAAAAATTAGAGTTTTAACAAAAATAAAAGACTTCGCGAAAATTGAAAAATTCGTTTCCAGAATTATACTATGCGATCACGTAGTTATATTAGGTGCAATCGCATAATTCATTCCTTGGGCTTCAATTTTGTCTCAGTATAAGGGTATGCAGTCGCACGGCTTTTAAGCTATACAGTCGAATAGCTTTATTTTTAAAACATCTTTCTCCTTGTGTAGAATTTTGTGACGATTCCGGATTGCACTCATGGGCGAAAATTCGACACTCGAGCTGGAAGTTATGCCTGTTTTAATCCATGCTACTCGTTTTTTCTATATATCTTTCGAAACTTGAATCCAATGCATCAAATATGATTTTGCCTTCATGACCAACATGTAAGTTGTTATTTGGCTTGTTACACTCATCCCTATCGACTCCATAGCTCGAAAAAGTGTTTGCACGGTCTTGTGGGCTCGAATTAAGCTTGAATCTTTGTCTCAATCTCTCGTCCCCCAATCATCAAGTTCTTGATAATTTTTATCCCTCCCTTGGATCACACCATCAATTTTTTTTCCTTTTTTGGATGAGGAGAGGTTTTGACGGTACTTGAATTATTGCTAATAAGAAAATGTAGTTTTCACTAGAAAAAGAATGTATTATATAAGCAGTGACATCTGGTGAGTACTAGACTACTAGTAGACGTAACCTAGTGAGTAATTCCTCTTTACGATATGCAATCATCTACATTTCTCATTTCCTTAATTTATTTGATGGGTGTTGATCTTAAATGCATACAAGGCCAGTAAAAGAGAGCGATCCACTTGAGGCAATATTTGTAGTGGCATACGTGAATTTTGCTTGGCATCTTGGTTGCAATAGATTATGTGACAAGTATTTTGCCTGATTTCTGGGGTTTTATATGAAAAACAGGGGCATTGATAAGATGCAATTTTATTTATTTATTATTATTATTATTATTATTATTATTTTTTGTTTGTTGTATCTGCGTATTTGTACCTTATCCTTTTATTATGAGGTTAATTATTTGAATGGTCACTGAACTATATTAAGTGCTACTACTTAATAACTGACTTAAAAACTTATCTCAATGATCATTGAATCATGCACCGTGTTACTCATCCATTACTCAAGTAAAAAATCCTTTAGGTTCAATAAACAACCTCGACTTGAACGATAACACGGTGCATAGTTTAATGACTATTGAAAAATAATTTTAACTTCAATTATTAAGTAGTAACAATAGTATAGCTTAGTTATTGAGATACAAATTTAAATTTAATTATTAAGTAGTAACATTTTTTCTCAAATTGAGCAAATTGACCTATGTGAAGGAAGAAAATGGGGGGAAAAAAGAGGAAACCGAGATCAAGGGACTATAAATAGAAGAAAAATAGAACTTTTCATAATTTTGCATCACAAATTTCTTCAAAAGATCAATTTTTCCATTTGGAACCACTTTCAAATATCCAATCCTTCGCAGAAATCTCACTTATCCAATTCCACATCTTTTTAGAAACCTTTGATTCTAAGGTTTAAAAAAAATATAACATTTTGCAAAAATCTTGATCCCCACTTCCAAAAAATTAATTATTCCTCAAAAAATTAATTTTTTTATATTTTGTGGAAAATGAGATAGCCACCGGACAATACTCAATCTTTTGCAGAAATGTGTGATGCCTAATTTTGAAAAGTTCTATTTTTTTTATTTATTTTTTTTCAATTTATAGGACTCTAAATTTTCAGTTTACTCTTTTTTCCTTCATTTTTTTTTTATTTCTTCTTTCACAGTGGTCGATTTGAGGGAAAAAATTGTTACTACTTAATAATTGAACTTAAAATTGGATGCCAATGATGACTGAACTATACTAATTGTTACTATTTAATAACTAAACTTAAAATTATATCTCAATGGTTACTAAATTATGCACCTTATTGTCATCCACCCCTCAAGTTGACACAGTTTGTTGAACCTAATGGATTTTCCCGCTTGAGTGATGGATGAGTAACATGATGCATAATTAAGTGATCATTGAGATTCATTTTTAAACCAGTTATTAAGTAGTAGCACTTGGTATAGTTCAGTGAACATTCACATAATTAACCCTTTTACTGTGCTAACTTGAGATTCTTTCTTCTTTCATGTGTATTTTGTAGTTTATTTTCCCTGCACTATAATTTAGATTTGCCGAATTTGTTTTTGATGGACATAATTTACATTTTTTAATAAGAAAACATATTTGATCAGAATTTATTATGCATCCAAACTAGTTGCATTGCATGGATGAAGATAGGTTGTTGACCACTGAATAGTTTGCAGCAAGGGCAATTTGGGCCTTTTACCATGCATGTCAAAAAATGCCTCGAGTAGCTGATATGTAAATGTTCAATGTTTTTATACTCTGAAAGAAACTTGATGAATTAGGTGTTCTCGAATTAGGTGTTCTCGTTTAAACTCATTTACCCAGTCATTTTAAATGATATAACATGGAATTTGGGAACTTTTCTTTCCCAACCAATTTATGACATCTTCTTGCTCCATTTGAAAGGAATTATCATATTGTACAAGCTTTATCTCTTTTCTTTTCAAAAATGATATCATATCTTTTTTTGTCCTTTTTTAGTTGATTTTCCAACAGAGCTTGATGCAGCTGCTTATTCCTTGGGGTGAAAAAGAAAATAGAGAGCAATTCAAAGTGAATGAGTTATAACTCTTATAATGAAAGTAAAGACCAAATGAAGTGGATGGAAAATGTTAGGTTGAGGCTTCCTAGTAAGCATTAACCAGGGTATACACCTTAAATAATGGTTAGACCGGTAACACTTTCACAACGACAAAATGAAGGAAACCATCTAAATTTTCTAATGGAAAATATTTGTGACAAGATTATTATGGAAACTGCAAACAAGCTCCTGATAAGATTCATGTTGAAATAATCAGTTTTGAATTTGCTCTTCATCCCCATATAAACTTGGTTTTTGGTATGTGGAGAAACACCGTAATTGAATGAGAATACCTCTCAAGAGTCGTATTGTATCTATTTACTACAATAAATAGATTTCCTTTTTAATCTATCAGGAAGTATCCTTGTTATTAAGCATTTATCTTAACGTGATTAAATACTTTTGGATGACTGTCATTTAGTGGATGTAGCTCTCAATTGAGAATGAATCACTATAAGTATGTGTTTTTGCTTGCTTTAGGTTTTCTCTGTTTCGTTTTATTTTTGCTCTTTGGTCATATGGGATTAGCAATTAATCATAACGAATATCAAGTGTAAAGAAGTATTTACAACAAAGATATGTCTACCTTTTTTGTCCATTATCCCAATGTCTGGAGGTACCCAAAAGAAGTATATATTTAGACATATAAGCTGGTTTATAAGTTCTGTGGTAGTTTACTTTGCAGAAAAAGAGGGAATTTTGACTAAGCTCTTGTTGATTTGCAATTGTGAATCCAGAACGTTCAGTTAGTCGAATAATCAACTTCCTATGAGGAAACTCAAGCTGAAATCAACTGCAGGTGAACTTCTCTGTAGACTATGCTTATTAGAAACAAAAAGGTGAAAGGGTGATATGTAAGCGCTGAATCAATGCAAAGAATTGAAATAAGCATGGAATCATTGTATATTTCCTCTTTGCAATGCATGTTCTTCATGGATAATCTTGGTTGAACGGCATCAGTCTCTGCATGGGTTGGTATATATGACTGGAAAAGCCTTTGGCTAAATGATTGTCTTGTTGTTTTCCTTTTTTACTTCCGTAATTTGTTTCCTACTGGAATTCTGAACTTTGACTGGTTTACACCTGATCTTCTCCTTTGGCTTTGAATTGGTGACAACATAGCTTCTAAATCTATGTGCTTCGAAACTTGAGATTGATTTACCTGGACTTTCACCTGTGGCAGGACCTGACCATCAGAAAATGATTTACAGCTGAAAGTTAGTTGATTAATATCCAATTGTTGAGCTCAACTCAGTGCATCAAAATTCAGTCTCAGTTCTTTTTTCTGCATTTTGGCTGCCGGTTTGGGAAGGGGTTTTGGAAGTGATTTCCGCAGTCGATTTGTTGGGTGTTGGTCTTTTATATATACAAGGCCACCAAAAGAGAGTGATTTACTCGAGGCAATATCTGCAGTGACGTCTGGGGCCATTTTGTTTGACATCCTTTGTTTGACATCTTGGTTGCAATGATTTCTGTGACAGGTATTTGCCTGATTTCTGAGCTTTTATATGTAGAACTTGGGGACATTGAGATGGTGCAATTTGTGTTTCCTATATGGCTTGCTGTATCTGTGTTATTTGCATTTCTCTTTTTGCTATGCTAACTTGAGATTCTTTCTTTTTTCATGTGTAGTTTGTAGTCAATTTCCCTAGCATTACATTTTTTATTGGCCGGATTTGTAGCTATTGGACATAATTCAAGATTTTTTTTTTTTTTTAATGAAAATAGATTTGGTAAGAATTTATCATGCATCCACACTAGTTGCATTGCATGAATGAAGACGCCTTGCGTAGATTGTTGCAAGGGCACTTTGGAAGTTTTATAGCATGCATGCCAAAAGATGCCTTGAGTAGAGTGTATATACAAGGTTTAACATTTCATATACTCTGAAAGAAACTTGATGAATTCAGTTTTCTTGTTTAAACACATGTACCCGGTCATTTTAAATTATACAACTATGGACTTTGGGAACTTTTCTTTCCCAACCAATTATGACAAATCTTTTTGTGATGCGGACTTCCATTTATTATTTTATGTTTCCATTTGGACTATTATTTATGTTCTATTATTGGGCTTGTATAATGGGTATGGCCCAAGCCCTTTACCTTTAGGATTTTGTTTTACTATTTATATTTGATTTGTTGTTTAGTTGGGACAGTTTGATAATTATGATGAATTGAGATTGATTGTGGCGTCTCCTTTCTTTCCCTTCCCCTTTCCCTCTGAATTTCTGCTTCGTCTCTGGATTCTTCCCCCTCTTTCTCTCTGGTTTTCCCCCTTTCTTGCTGTTTTATTATTTTATCTTGCATCAAATTTAGTATTAGACTCGAAACTTGGATAATTTCTCTCCTATACTCCAAATTTCATCCTACTTTCTTCCTCTTTTTCTGTTGAATCTTCTTCTTCCCCCATTCTCCCCATTAATTCCCACTCTCTTATAGATCTGTTTTATTTCTACATTAATTTTTCAAGTTGGTGCTGCATCAAATTTGGTATCAGAGCCGAACCTTGGGTAAATTTTTTCTCATAATCCAAAATTTCTTTCTATTTTCTTCCCAAAATTTGTTGGAATAGCACAAGTGAAAATATTTAGCGTAAGAGTAGCACTTTTCATTCTTTCAATTTTCTTTGTGAGAAAAAAGGATGAAAAAAAGGAGAGTTACTATTCACACCCGGAAAAAAATCGGTTTTTAGTATTTTGGTCAGTTTCTGCAAAAAAAAATCATTAAAGATCTACTGCAATTTCAATTCACTTGTGTTGTTCATCCTTGCCATTTTCATCACAAATTGGCACCATATAACACCAACAATAAACCCTAACCCACCTTCCCAATTCTTACAAAGCCCAGTGATGAGTGTAATCCACTCATTAAACTAAAGCTTCTAAATCGAGTTTTTTGATGTGTTCTTGAGCATTTTTGAACGTTTTGATGTGTGTGTTAGTGTTGTTTTGCAGTTTGGACAATTCTCAAGAAAATATCACTATTGGGAGCCGGTGATGAGGAAAAATGATGATCAATGAAATGGAGCATGAATAAGCAAGTATTGAATAAGATTGGAGTGGGAAATAGGCTTGGAAAAACAAAGAGAAGAAAAAGCAAACAGAAGCCTGGGCGCCAAACTTGGCGCCCAAGGAAGAAAAAAAAAAACAAAAGAAGCAGAACAACGGGCGCCACGGCGCCAGACCTGGGCGCCATGGCGCCCATGAAGGAAAAAAAAGGAGCAGAGACCTGGGCGCCACGGCGCCAGACCCGGGCGCCATGGCGCCCGTTTCCAAAACAGTAAAATCCGGGTTTTTAAGTATTTTTTCGGCCCAAAAATCACACCCTAACCCTTGAGGACCCTTAGAAAATATAAATACTCAGCAAAAGAACAGGAAAAGGGGTTGGACGGCTGAAGAAAGGAGGCAAGGGGATACACTAATTGAGAGAAGATCGAATCGATTTTGGAGAAGAAGAAGAAGAAAAACTGAGAATCAAGCCACAAGATGGAGAAATAGAGCAACAACCTGAGTTTTTTCTTATCTTTCTCTTCTTCATGAAATTTAATTTGTGTTTTATCATGTTCTTCTTTTCAATCATGAACTAAGTTATTAAATCTAGGGTTTGATGTAGCCTATTTGAGACATGATTCGATTTCTTTATAGTATTTCTATTTAATTTTCCAGAATTGAATTTTTATTGTTCTTGCTTAATGCTTTCTTTTGCCTGATCACCAATTGAATGAATTGATGTTCTAAATTTGACGCTCGAGAGGGGGAAATAGAATTAATTTAGGATTCTTGCCTATGAATTTGGGAAATATTTGATAGAAATATCTATAGGGATTGAGAATTATGTCGAGAATATGGTGAAATCATTCCCTAGACATTACGTAAATTTGATTTAATCTTTAGAAATTGCCTCACTTTTATTGCACTATTTAATTCATTGACGCTAATTTAGAAATCAAATATTAATTTAACACTCGATTGTCTAGATAAAGTAAACGCGGACACAATTATAGTACTCAGTGGAACTCGAATATCAATCCCTGTGGGTTCGACACTTTTCAATTCTTTAATATACTACAAAACTTGACACCGTGCGCTTGCGGTATAAAATCACGTTATATAAAACGCGTGGCACCCAGTAATATTCAAGCTGCCCAAAAGTCATTTTTCACGTAGTAGCCCACCTTCTATCTTCTAATCACATAGATAAGTCCAGCAGCCCTTTACTCACATTCAGCCCATATATCCCAATCCATTTCACATATAAAATAATCCCAACTCCAACCTGACCCAAAATCCACCACTAGCCCAAGCCAAACCCAATTCACTCAACCTTAGTCCATTACATACAACATTTACCTAGCCCACATTACCTATTACCCATACAAGACCAATCCAGCCCAATTCTTTCATCTTCTTCGAGCCCATTTTTCCTACAATCCATCATCTCGTCTTCAACCTTGTGACTCGTCTTTAGCGCTATCACCAGCGCCACCTCCACTAAAATCTACAAATCCCCCAATCGCACACACCACCACCTCTATATCCATGGTCACCACTACCTACGTCATCCGTTGTCGTCATCACGCAACCGTGGACCCTTCAACTCACCCAACCACCATAAGCCTCTCTAGTGCTACACCAATCGATGTCACACTGCATAGGCCAACGTCCACCACCACATCCTTCGTGAGAGAACAACCCACAGTCAGCAAACTTTCCGCCAACCCACAAATTCATCAGTCACTACCACCATTAACCTCCATGTTCACCGACACTCAGTTTTAATTTCACACCGCCAACACTACCTGTTACTAGTTACTGCAACGTCATTCAATTTCTGGACTATACTTCTTGTGGATGAAAATCTTGAAGACTGACCAAAGTTCCAGCAAATCACCAGTTGCTGCTCATATTGCCGCTAGTCCATGCCACCTACATTGCTCAAGAGTATTCCACCACAATATTTCACAACGTGCCAACGTGAAGATCCCAATTGGAACACAGCTTGACCCTTCCAGTTTCGTGAGTACATCGCCAGCAACTTCAAGCTTTCGTGGGCACCGCCAGTGCAACTATACAACAGGGAGTCCTTGAACCTATTTATTTTTGGTTTCTACTACTGCTTCATTTTAAATTGCACCAATTAAACTCTTTGTGTTGCTGTTATTTGATAATTTTAGCCTTAACCCCACTTGATTGGAATTATTGAACGAATTGACTTCTCATTGTTCCCTACTCATCAACGTGATTGGAGAATTTGATTAGTGTTTGACTTATTGCTTTGCTGTTTTACATGTACCAGCAGTATTAGCTTGTCGTATTTGGATTTATTTGATTCCAAAATTTAAAATTTAAAAAAAAAAAGAAAAGAAAAGAAAAGGGGTTCAAGTTGTTATTTTCCATTGCTTGCACTTATTGTTCATTGATCTCTCTATTGCACGTCATTTAATTGCTAATACAGTGCACGTATAGTGGTTGACTGGTCATCTTGTCACTTCTAGTTTCAGTACCTAAACATGGATCATTCACAAATTGATGCATTCACTAGACAAGTAGCTCAACTTGTCACTAGCCAGCAACATTTACAAACTCAATTTGCAGCTATCCAAACCAAAAATGGCTGCTACTTGTGGAAAAAGCTAAGATCTAGCTGCTAGTCTGAATAATTTTAAGTAAATCCCTCATTCGACTAATGTTAATAATTTTGAATTGTCCCACAATAGATAATATACTCGTCGACAAGGTGATCAAAAATATTTTCAACACGATTGCCAGGATAGAGATCAAGTTCGTGAGCGAGAACGAGGCCATAGTCGTCATGGTACTCATTCTCTTCCTCGTCATAAGGAGCATTTCTTTAGAGATTAATACTTTCGATGGTTACTTAGATCATGAAATTTTTACTCGATGAAACACATCCTTACACAAGGGAATTGGCTAGTAACTGAGTGCATTACTCAATTTGAGGAATTTCGAATGAAACGTCATGTCATTGAGGATAAGGCCTTGACTTTGAGTAGGTTTATACAAGGTCTAAAAGATGAACTTAGGCGTGAGCTTTTCTTTTGAAGCGTCACTATTCTTAATCACGCTTACTTTTGACGCTGAGATTATGAGCTACTTATTAGTACTCTATATGAAAATCGCGATCACCATCGTCCACCAATCTCGTCATCGCTGCCTCCTCTTAAGTCTATCAAAAGACCTTTCCCGTCTAATATTCCTCCTATGTTGGAAAATAAGGGTAAAATTTCTAAAATTCCAAGGGCTTCTTCTCACTTGCAGTACTTCAATTGTAAGGACTTTGGCTACATCTCTTCTGAATGTTCTAGCTGAGCCTTAGTCATTGAAGAACAAAAGAATATAAGAGATGAATGATTAGAAGATCAAATCTATGAACCTAAATTTGAAGAATTTGATGACTTTGATGATAGTGAGAACATCCCCTTAGATAGTATTCGGATTTTTCCGATGAATCCAGATATTGTACCTCTTGTTCTCGATACCTCTCAGTCAAATGTTATGTCATACTCTTATCCAACCCAGAGGTATTGATGATTTATGTAATCATGTCCTTTTCAAGGAAAATATTGGGCATTAGGATTTGATCCTCCCAACAATGCAAATTACATATAACAATTTTGTGAATCGGTCTATAAATACGAGTTCCTTTGATGTTATTCATGTTTATGAACTTAGGAAAACTTTAAACCTTATTCCCGTGTCCTCACATACTAATGTGTCTATGCCAATTGAGGTAGTTGTATCACATCTTCATAACTTACATATTGAGATCAATAAACAACTTGAAGCAAGTAATGAATTATATAAACTTTCAGTTGATTTGCATGAGCGAAATTTTGAATTTAATATTGAGGATTATGTTATATTGCAAGCTTGTAGTACTGGTCCTTATGAAATTTTAAAGCATGTTGTTTCAAACATACGTGTCATTGATCTTTTATCACATTTTAGCCACTACTCTATTTTAATTATTAAGGACTTCGTTGCTTACAAAGGCTATTTTAACCCCTCTGATGATCATTTTGTACCTCTACATGGGAATTCCAACATTGAATCTTTTGCTATATCTACTCCAATACCATCTATCACAGCACACAAAGAAGAGATTGGTGTTATTTTAGATGATCAGATCGTATTGACCAATGATAGAGATATTCAGTGCTTTCTTGTTTCTTGGGTAGATCAACGTGCTTCTTTTGCAACTCATTATGTACAATCATGTGAAAATTTTGGAGATGAGGTGCATGAGTATTGGTTATTTGGAGTCCAGTATCAATATTTGGTTAGAAGAAAAGACCGTCCCCCTTGGTTAGATCGCATTTTTGGAAATAAGCTACAGTTTTCATTACTATCGATAATGGAATTTCGATACTTAGTTTGTTATTAAGATTAGTTTGTTATTAAGATCGTTTCCCATGGCATGACTTGAAGTATTTTTGGTATCAAATTGACTGTAGCCTCTTGTGATCTATCCACTCGACGGGGTTGAGTTTTCTTCTACCTCGAGAGAGTTGATGCGGATATTCATTTATTATTTTATGTTTTCATTTGGATTGTTATTTATGTTTTATTATTGGGCTTTTATAATGGGTATGGCCTAAGTCCTTTACCTTTAGGGTTTTGTTTTGCTATTTATATTTGATTTGTTGTTTAGTCGGGACAGTTTAATGATTATAATGAATTGAGATTGGTTGTGGCGTCTCCTTCCTTTGCCTTTCCCTCTGAATTTCTGCTTCTTCTCCGGAATCTCCTCCCCTTCTCTCTGGTTTTCCCCCTCTTTTTTGTGTTTTCTTATTTTATCCCGCATCAAATTTGGTATCAGAGCCGAAATTTGGGTAATTTCTCTACAACACTCCAAATTTCGTCCTACTTTCTTCCTCTTTTCTGTTGAATCTTCTTCTTCCCCCATTCTCCCCCTTAATTCCCACTCCCTTATAGACCTGTTTTATTTCTATACTAATTTTCCAGTTGGTGCTGCATCATTTTGCTTCATATAAAAGGAAGCATCAGATTGCACGAGATTTATTTCTTTTTCCTTTTAAAAATGGATATCATAATTGTTTGGCACTTTCTAGAGTCGATTTTCCCAGCAGAGCTTGCTGCAGTTACTTATTCCTTGGGGTGAAAAAGAAAAGAGAGANAAGATTAAATGTCAAAATCTCCGATTCTGAACTTGCTCATCGACCCCATATAGACTTGAGTTTTGGGATGTTGAGAAACTCCGTAATTGAATAGAGTACCTATTTAGTGTCCTATGGGATCTATTTCCGCAACATTCAGATTCATAGTTTTCCTTTTTAATGTATCAAGAAGTATCCTCATTATTTAGCATAAATCATAACGTGATTAAATATTATTGGATGTGCAGCATCTAATGGACCTAGCTCTCGATTGAGAATGAATTACTATAAACTATGTGTTCTTGCTTTCAATTTTAAAAATTCATGTTATATTTGCTCTAGGTAATATGGGATAGCGGCTAATCGTAACAAAAATAATGTGTAAAGACATATTTACAATAAAGACATGTCTACCTTTTCTTGGCCATTCATTCCAATGCTTTTGGAGTACTCAACAAAAGTATATATCTAGACATATAACCTGGTTTAGTTCTGTAGTAGCTTGCTTCTGACAAAGAGAGGGAATTTTGACTATGCTCATATTGATTATAAGTTGTAAATAAAAAATGATACATCAGAACTAACAGCTGAATATTTTGATGGATTATATGGTTCTGACATTCAGTTATTCGAGTAATGAAGTTCCTTTTGACGAAATTCAAGCTGAAATGAACCGCAGGTGAACTCTTATCTCTGTAGACTATGCTTGAAAAAATTTAAAAGGTCAAATGGTATTAAGAGAGTGCAGAATCAATACAGCGAGTGAAACAAAGGCATGGAATCATTGTATATTTCCTCATTGCAATGCAGGTTCTTTCATGGATGGTGCTGGTCGAACAACTCGGCAGTCTCTGCACGGGGTGGCAAATGACTGGAAAAACCTTTGGCTAAATGATTGTCTCGAGGGGCACTTCTCATTTGTTTTATATTTTACTTCCATAATTTGTTTCTTATTGGAATTTCTGAACTTCGACTGGTTTACATCTGATCTTCTATGGCTTTGAATTGGTGACAACATAGCTTCTAAGTCTACGCGGTTTGAAACTTGAGATTGATTTGCATGGACTTTCACCTGTGGCAGAACCTGACTATCAGAAAACGACTTATCAGTTGAAAAGTCATTGATTAAATTCCCAAGTTTTGAGCTTGACTTGGAACGCCCAAATTCAAACTCAGGTTCATTGTTCTGCATTTTGGCAGCCGGTATGGGAAGAGGCAATGGAAGTGATTTCGTCAATTGATTTGGTGGGTGTTGGTCTTGAATGCACACAAGGCCTGCAAAAGAGAGTGATTCACTTGAGGCAATATCTGCAGCTACGTCCGGGGCCATTTTGTTTGACATCGTGGTTGCAATGGATCTTGTGACTGATTATTTTACCTGATTTCTGAGCTTTTATATGAGAAACTTGGGGACATCGATAGGGTGCAATTTGGGATTCGTACTTGGCTTCTTGTATCTGTGTATTTGTATTTTACCACTTTGCTGTGCTAACTTGAGATTCTTTCTTCTTTCATGTGTAGTTTGTAGTTAATTTCTCCGGCATTGTATTTTGGATTGGCCGAATTTGTTACTAATGGATATGAAAGAACTTGCATGGATGATGATGTATTATTGGTCAATGGACAGTTTGTTGTAAGGGCAATTTGGACCTTTTGGCATGCGTGCCAAAATTTCCTTAATTAGATGATACGTACGAGGTAGTTTTGACATTTTGTACTCCGAAAGCAACTTGAAGATTTGGGTGTTATTGTTTAACACATTTACCCAGTCATTTTCATCCTTTATCAACTTCTGCTTGATCAGGTGAATGCACCAATGCATTTTATTTTTACTTATCCGCCTCTTACTTTCTGGGAAAAACTGAGCTCTGGCCTCGAGTCCAGTTTTTTTAGAACTTTTTTTTTCCTAATTCACTTTCAACCACATATTTTATGAAATTCACAACTTTTATTAAGTTCTTAACTACGCATTTTACCAATCTTTACTAAACACCTGTTTGGTTAAAATTTGAGTTGAAGTCACCAATTAGTTTTAATTATATGTTTCAAGAGACTTGCAATTTTTTAACAACAAATTTTATCAATTTTCATCAAAATTTATTAAAAATATTATTTTTATCTAAATCAAACAAGAGTTAAAATTTATTATAATTTAATTTTTATCCAAATCAGGGACAAAATTTAGCCGTCCTAATACACAATATTTGTATTCAATCTACAATGTAAAATGACAAAAATGGGAGGCAGAATTTCATTCGTGGTGAGACATCAATGCATTACCATTATCTTGCATTTCATAATCAATTACTTTAATTAGCTGAAAATAGCAGGAATTGAACGTTCCTATAGTTATTAGTAATATATCGTGTTTGGTAGTGTTAGATGGAATAATTTTGTACAGTGAAAATGTAGGGTAATAAACATGAAAGTTACATCGGAAATCATAGCTACTTCTGTTTTGAGCATTTGACATGAAACTAGTGAGAAATGGAACTCCTGATAAATTGAGATATTTCAATAAGTTATTATCGAGCATTTTGGCATATTGACATTACCAAATATGGACCTTTTTATGGACTTCTTAGCCCATCATACAAGAAAGTCCAAACTCTTGTATAAATGGGCCATCCCTGTTATATTTTTGTGGCCCATCTCAACACAATAATTTCCATTAATTAACTCCTAATACAAGCTGTAATCCTCATAATTGTACACTCTCTAACCCTAGTTACAAACACAACCTAACCTCATTTTAGACACTGTTAAGTGTGTAATAATTCAAATCCCATCGGTATCAAGAAAATCACATCAACAATAATGACTATTCTTATTAATTAAATCGATGTGAAAGGTGAATCCCCCAACCACTCCCAATTTTCAGAGTAAATTTCTTTGAAGGGGTCGAATTATAAGCGTGGCTGCTGCAATCTCCCTAGCCTTTTATTTGTCGAACATTTAATATTGTAAGGAGTACTAAAAAAGGTGCTAGCGTCAGTGGGACTCACATGTGTAAGTAAGAAAATTAATCTTTTAAATTTTTATTTTTTATTTTTGAAATCCTACTACAGAACAATATCCCCACCTTTCTAAAAATGCCTGTATATATATAATATGCACGTAATATCTGTTTGAAATGGCATATTGTCTAAAAAAGAGTAACGTTTAACGTAAGTTGGACAATTATTGTTTTGCTCTAGGAATAAATAAAATCATTTTTGAATAATCTTATCCTTTTAATAACACACAATGTGCAAGTCATATGAGTATTTAAACTAAAGTCTGAATAAGGATTTATTTGATTTGATCCCCTTTTTTGAAAGAATAAATTTTGTAATATTATTTTCTTTTTGAAAAATGTGTGATTAAAAGGTATAGAGAAATTTTTTTATTTACGTGTAAAATAATTTTCTTTAAAAAGTGTGATTGAAAATAAATTTATTTAAAAAATAAGTTTTTGAAAAATAAGAATCAAACATGGACTATATATTTTTATCTCCCTCTCAATGTTAAAATGTCAGAGACATGGATGTCACAAATAAAAGATGTGGGACAAAACTGTCACACTTATCGAAGGTTGTGAACGTATGGGGAAATTGGCCCATTGTTTTAAAAGAACCGGACAAAAATGAAATCGGTTCCAGAGATATTATTAATGGGCCCCACATGTTCCTAGTCATTATCCTTATCCACTTAGGTTTCCTTTATTTCCACCATTAGTTTTCCACACGCCACTCTTGTTATCTTTAATTCACTCACAAAGATACCATTTTCTGTACTGGAAATAGAATTAAATAGTTGGGAAATATTGAATTCGAATTTTGTTGACTCTATTGTGACTCTAGCAGATTTACCATCAACCCTCTATTTAATCTGGCTAGGCAGAGTTCATTGAAGGGAAAGCAACAATGGTTCTGCTAGATCAACTCTGGGACGACGTCGTTGCCGGGCCTCAGCCCGACCGCGGCCTGGAACACCTCAAGAAAACCTTCACCAAGCCCTTGATCATCAAAGGTTGTGTCTTTTTCTTTCTCCTATACATGCATGCACACGAAGTCTAGCTCCTTTTTGTACTAATTAACAAGTGATTTTTGTATATTTTGTTTGTTTAGATGTCGGAGGAGAGGGTAGTAGCAAGTACCAGAGGTCTATATCGATGCCGGCCAGTCCTGGGTCACCGGCAACGCCTGTGACACCTACTACTCCGTCGCCAACGGCGGCGCGTAAAGAAAATGTATGGAGGAGCGTGTTTCATCCTGGTAGCAACCTCGCTACGAGGAGTATTGGGGCTGATTACTTTGACAGACCCCAGCCTAACTCTCCCACTGTTTATGACTGGTACGTAAGTATTTTTTCCATTCCTGAAGTTCAAGACTTGCTTATATACACTAACAACTGCACGATAAATTAAAAAAAAAAAAAAAAATGGGGATTCTTTAAAATTTTGTTCTATCTTCTTTTAGAAGATGCTAAGATGAATTTATTTTATACAATACAGGCTCTACAGTGGGGAGACTAGGAGCAAACACCGTTGAGATGTTGACGAGAGAGATGGGTGTTCTGTAAATAGTGTCTTTACTTGCTCAGGCTTGATAGCAACTTCCATGGTTTTATGCTAATTAATTACTGGGTTTTTTAATTATCTGTCTTTGAATATGATCATCATCTTGTAAATATTATGCTAAAAGAGCACTGTTGTCGGCTCCAAGATCTGGTGTGAAATGGATCGGCTGCTATGAAATAAGTGGATTGAATTTTCTTTAATTTACTAGCAGTGTTGTGATTCTCTGTTATGATTCTTCTTTTATTGTTAAATAAACTGGATTCTACGACAGTGCTATGCTTCAGTTTAGTATGAATTTCTATCGATCTTCGTCCTCGGCGTTTAAGACTTATCTTAAGACTCGAGATTCATCTTAATAAGATCTTATCTTGTCAAGTGGAGAACTCCAAGATTTTTATAAATTGATAATTATTTCGATATTAAATCAAGTGAGATAACACATTCCTTAATAGGTCTCCTCTGATGGTTCATTTGAGTATACTAATCTTGAAATTCACATAAGGATTTTGATTTCATGTTAAGATTTGAGTTTCATGGCCAATTTTTATTAAGGGGAAAAATGTAAGATTTTTATAAATTGATATTTATTTCGGTATCAAACTGACGGAGGAAGACACTTCCCTCAACAATTTCCATGTTTGGTAGTTGGTTATAATTTGTTTTAATTTGATTGACGTCGACCCACAAGAGATAAATTAATACTTACGTATTGATTAAAAGATATGACAGTTTAGTTTGATCCAATGAATATAAATGATTGACATGAAAATTCTACCAGATTTTGCTCCAAGAAAGTTCTGACACTCGTCAATATTACAAATTTACAAGAGTAAATTGTTAGATATTTAGCCCTCGTTTGAGCCTATTATTTTTTATTACATTGAATTAAATTTTTCTCCTATTTTTAATTATATAATTTTTAATAAAATAATATTATACGTAAATTAAAAAATTTTTAATCACTCATTTTTCAAAAAAATATTATTTATCTCATTATAATTTACAAATAATGGGGTTCAAAAGGTTGCTTATATTTTAAATATAAAATGTGAAAAAAACAATTAATTTGAGAGAAAATGTTCAAGTGATGAAAAATGTGGCATTTATGTGGAACGTTGGGATTGGGGTCACTTTTCACGTAATAATTCAAATGTCTTTCATTGGGGTCTTGAACTTCCTTAATTAAAATAAAATTTATTTATTTATTTTTGAAATTATTTAATGGGTCAAACTCGTCGGGAATAATATGAGTGTTGTTTAACAATTCATTATTCATTAGTCAGTAAATTTTAAAAATATTTAAATTCATTATTTATACACACACACACACACAAAAACACTCACTTCGTTTGCCAAAAATACACCAAAAAAAAAAAAATCATCAGAAAAGATTATAATTTTTCATACTCTGAAATTTTATACTTGAATTTTTTTTAATATTTTCTAGAGCATACTCGGGAGTTTTGGAAAATCATTTGTGATTGTTGTATTCTTTGAGTGATTGTCCACAGAGGTCGCAGCAGTTATCGATGAGCAATTTTACTTTAGAACATCGTGCTGTCACGATACTCGATCAGTTGATAAGTTTTATTTCTGCACTTTATTGTTTTGCAAGTTACTGTAACTAATTATTTTTCCAACAATCTAAAGTGAAATTTGTTTATGGTTAATTATCATGTCTGCCATAGATACATCTGTTCCTAAGTATTCTGAAAAATCTTAATTGTTTGATGGAAAGAATTTTAAAAGATGGCAAACGAAACTGCGATTCTATTTGACAACTATTAAAGTCGTTGATACTATTGAATCTGATAAATCGGTTTTTACAATTGCTGATAAGCTTACTGATAAAGAAACGAAGGATTTAGTTAATTGGGAACATAAGCATTATATGTGCAGGAATTATATTCTAAATTGTTTGACATTAGATTTATGTGATATTTATTGATTGTGTAAATCTATTAAAGAATTATGGAATTTCTTAGAAAAGAAATATGCTACAGAAGATATTGGAACTAAGAAATTTGCTGTGGAAAAATTTCTAGATTTTAAAATGGATGACACGAACTGTGATTAGTCAAGTTGAAGAATTACAGATTATAATTCACGGAATTATTGCTAAGGGATATAAAATCTGAGAGAGTTTTCAAGAGTCTGCTATAATTGAAAAATTGCCACATTCTTTGAAAGAGTATAAAAATGGTTTGAAGTATAAGGAAAAAAAATGTCCTTAGAGGATCTGATTATCAGGATTAGAATTGAGAAGAACAATAAAATGGCAGAATGTAGGGAAATGCTAGTTGAAGGAAGCTCTGGCAGTAAGAAACCAATTGAAAATTTTACCAAGGGTTAGAGCTTTAAAGACAGAAACAAGGGAAAGTAATTTATAAGAAAGAATAATCGATCAAAGCCCCAATTTAAAAATAAATTGTTGGTGAATGTTTTGTTTGTGGTAAACCAGGTCACTTTGCAAAGGATTGCAGAAATATGAAAGGAAAAGCTGTGAAAAATCAGTCACATATGGTAGAGGATGGGAATTTCTATGCTATGGTGACAGAAGTGAATCAAGTAAGCAACATGACAGATTGGTGGGTAGATTCTGGAGTTACCAAGCACATTTGCTGCATGAGAGTTGCATTTTCTTCATTCACTCCTACTAGTAATAGAAAATGTCTGTTTATGGGGAATGCTTCCTCCTCCGAAATCGAGTGGAAAGGAACTATGGCACTAAGATTCACTTTTGAAAATATCCTTAATTTAAAGGATATCCTTTATGTACTTGATATTAGGAAAAATCTAGTGTTTGGATTTATCTTAGTCAAAAAGAGATTTAAGATTGTATTTGAGAATGGTCAAGTTATACTGTCTAAGGGTAGTTCTTTTGTTGGGAAATGGTATACTGATGAGAGTGTTTAAACTTAATTTTTCTGTGATTAATAACAAAGTATCTATCTCTTCTGTTTTCTTGTTGAATTCTTATAATTTATGACATGCTAGAATTGGACATGTTAATAAAATTTCCATTAAAAAATTAATGAGTTTGGAAAACATTTCCCAAGCCGATAATTTTCTGAATGCGAAATGCGAAATTTGTGTTAAATCTAAGTATGCTAGAAAAAAATTTCCTCATGTCGAAAGAACTACTTCAATCTTAAGTTTAATACAGTCTGATTTATGTGTTTTAAAAGGATATGTTACTTGTGGTGAAAATAAATATTTTTTAAACTTTTATTGACGATATTCTCGATATTGTTACATTTATCTACTTAAGAACAATGATGAAAGTTATTCAAAATTTATTTTACATAAAATTGAAGTAAAAAATTAGCTAGACAAAATTATTATAATTTTAAGATCTGATAGGGGAGGAGAATGTACTGGAAATTTTGATAAATTCTGTGTTGAGAATGGTATTATTCATGAGACTACTTTACCTAAAAATAGAATTCTTAAGGATATGGTCATATCAATCCTAAACTCTTCTGGATTACTTTTTAACATGTGGAGGGAAGCCCTTCTTACTGCATGTTATATTCTTAACAGAACTCTTAGTAAGAAAAATAATAAGCGTCAATATGAAATGTAGAAGGGTAGAATACCTTTATATAAATATCTTAAAGTGTGTGGGTGTTTAGCTAAAACTTCTATTCCAACACATAAGAAAACTAAAATTAGACCAAAAACTATTGATTGTGTTTTTATAGGTTTTGCTATTTATAGTAATACTTACAGATTTTGTCATCGACTCTAAAAATAATTTGATTGAAAATAATACAATTCTTGAAATTAGAGATTTTGAATTTTTTTAGAATGGTTTTCCTTTTAAAGAAAAGTCTGAAGAACCAAGTAGTTCTTTTAATATTCCTCCTAATGTTAGAGATGAACCTACTGAATTAGAAGAAGCTGAAATTAGGAGAAGCAAAAGACCTAGGACCACTACTTCCTTCAGTCTCGACTTTCTAACCTACTTAGTAGATGATGATCCTAATACTTTTGGTGAAGCTATGTCTTCACCAGATTCTATATTTTGGAAGGAAGCTGTAAATAGTGAATATGACTCAATTATATCTAATAATACTTGGAGCTAGTAGACTTAC